AAGGCCAGGGCATCAAAGAAGTTCCAGATGAAATCACCATTGGGGAAGGCATTGAGACCTCTACTCCGGTGATGATGAACGAAGAAGAGATGGAGAAAGTCAGTAAACAGTTCTTCTTTGCAATTATGGAGAGAGGACGAGCCATTGTGGACAGTGGTGCGACAAGGACCATTGTGGGCGAAGAGGTCTGGCATCGTTGGCAGGTGTGGTGGAGAAGGCACTAGCCCAGTCACTTCGATTGCTAAGCAGCGTCAGTTCCGAGGTGGTGAAACGCTACAGTCACAGTACGAAGTGAGCTTCACAGCCATCATCCACAACCAAGAAGCTAGTAGAAACAAGTGCCACGCTAGTAGTAACAGGTGCCTTACTAGCAGAAACAAGAAGCTAGTAGAAACAAGTGCCTTACTAAGCATTGCCGGTGGCATCCGTCGTCCCAGGAGCCAATCCTTTCCTGGGAAGGCCTACTCTGGAGGAATGGGGCGTCATTTCATGACAAGAATGGACGCATGAAGATCGGTGATTCTATATAATTGGTTCACTCCAGAGCGCAATGAGAAGGCCGTGTCCTTTTGGACTTGATGATGTACAAGGATGACAAAAGCCATGAGGAGACTTTCTACCAGACCGATGGCACTATGAATCTCGTCGATGAGGTTCTTGCCGAAGATGAAGGCTTGAGCATTGAGCCAATGATGGAGAAAGAATGTGAGACGAAAGACATCTTGACCAAGAAAGACGAAGAGACCTTGCATGTGGACAAGGTTGCTGAGAAAGTGCTCAAGAGATTGAAGGACAAGAGGATCTTGAAGTTGGTCGAAGTCTTATGTGGACCAAGGAAATTTGTCCACGCATTTGGCGGAGAAGTACAGGGATGCTAAAGTCTCTACGTTTTCTTTGCCAGATTGGGACTTCACCAAGAAGGAGATCAAGGATGAGTTCATCGCATTGTTGCATGAGGTGAACCCCGAGTTTGTTTGGATTGCACCGCCATGCCGGAAATGGTCCACAATGAAAAGATTGACAAAGAGAAGTCTGAAAAGATGAAGAAGCTTCAAGAAGACAGGGATCGCTAAGAAGAATCCCATTTGACGTTGGTGGCAGAAACAGCAGCAAAGACATTGATGGTGACTATGCCATGGAGCACCCTCACGGTGCTGACTCGTGGAAGACTGGCACTATGGTTGAGATGAAAGGATATGTTGAACCAGTTTGCGATCGCTGCAGAACGGGTCTGTACTACAAGGATGATGAGATCGAAGGTGTTCGCAAGCAAATGAGAATCAGAACCAGTTCTAGAAAGGTAGCCGAAGCCACGGATCTGGCTTGTTTTTGCAGCCGACCACACGTTCAAATGGAAGGCAAAACCCAGAAGTTGCAAGCCATGCAAAACTATGAGACAGGCTTTCTGGAAGAGCAGGAAAAGCCATCTATGACGCAATGGACGAATCTTGGCGCAAGAAAGAGATAGCCAAGATCATTGCCAGTGAAGTGCCCATGACGGAACAGACCGTGATTCAGAAAGAGACAAAAGATGTGACTGACCGAAGAAGAATTCAGCCAAGCCAAGACACACTCCAAGAAAGCTATGACTGCGGTGGAAAAGTTGCATAGACAATTGGGTCATCCTGGCCGAGATCGACTGATTGCAGCCATTCGACAAGCCGGCTGGGAAGAAGAGTTTGTGGTGGCTGCACGAGAACATCAGTGCAGTACATGTCAGAATGTCCAATCAAAGAAGCTGACTCACCCATCTGCACTGCCTGGTTCCAGCAGCTTCAATGACGTCTTGAAGATGGACACTTTCCACATTAAGTGGGATGACAAGAAATGTCGTGTGTTGGCTTTGATCGAAACTGTTTCAAGGCGGTATGAGATGAACCAAATGATCGAGGCCGAGACGGAGAAGGAAGAACTGCAACTGGTAGATGCATGGGTGGAAGCATTTGGCATTTCAGCCCGCATCCGCACCGATGCTTCAGGAGCACACATGAGTGAGCAGTTTCTTTCCTACATGGATGACAAGAACATCAAGCTGTTGCTTGTGCCCAAGGAAGCTCACCATCGGATCGGGCTAGTGGAAAGACTCCATGCTGTGCGAAGATTGCAGCTCCTGAAGATGAAACACGAGAACCCCAAATTGAGTCTCTCAGCTGCAGTTCCAATAGCCTGTGCGGCCAGAAGCCAGATTCGGTCCATCCACGGTTCTTCACCTTCACAGATCGTCTTTGGTCGAAACCCAAGACAAAATGGCCTGATGGACGAGCCCCTGACCAATGTCTCTGCTGGTTCCACTCAGCATCAGGAGTTGCAGCTCAAACTTTCAGCAGTGATGAGCTTTTATGTTGCTAACCAGAATCAAACCCTCAGGAAAGCTCTGTTGAGCAAAAGTCGCAAGGACGATCCAGAATTCTTTCCTGGTGACTGGGTTTACTACTGGAGACAGGGAGATGGGAAACTTGAGATCAGTCGCTGGCGTGGCCCAGCACTTGTGTGCTCTATGACGCCACGAGATGCTCCCAATGAAGCCCCTCTGCCCAGTACTTACTGGTTGGCGCATGGATCCGCTCTGGTGCAAGTCGCCCGCGAACATCTTCGTGCCGAAGCACCTCGGGAGCGCCAGGCCAGATTGGAACATATGCCACAGACGGCTCATGTTGCGGACATCCAGTCTGCTGTTCGCCGAGCCCTCCAGCCGGTGCGGGGGCCTGTTCGTTTTCTTGACCTCTCCGGCACCCCACCAATCGGCAACGGTGTCTGATGATAGCCCTCAGGCAGATGACAAAGACGAAACTGGACCGACAGAAGATGATGACACAGCGATTGAAGCGCTGGAAAGAAAAGAAGAAGGTGAATCGGGCACAGCCACAGCAGCCGCAGCGGCAAGAACCACAGCAACAGCAGGTTGTTGAACGACACGCCGCTGCAGAAGCCACAGCACAAGCCGAGCTCGATGCACCCATGATGAATCCGGTCGATGGCCATGTTGACAAGAAGAGATCTCACTCTCAAGAAGGACAAGAAGAGAGACCTATGAAGAGTGAAAGGGTGATGATGGCAAACCCTTGGAACCGCCGCGAGAACGGTCCAGAAGTTCGCAGGCGAGAGATGATCGAGCCGTTGCCTTCCAATCCTACAACATGTCCCGACAGCTTGACGGTTTGCCGCCAGTTCAGGCGAATGATCTCTCGTTTCAGAGGTTCATGGACACAATGGAGTCCCTTGATGAAGATGAAATGCTCATGGCGAAGGCATTCCAAGAAAGCAAGCTTTCACATGAAGATCGAGCGGCATTCAGTGAAGCTAAAGATGCTGCCCTGATGGTGTGGATTCAGAATGCCGCATGGAAAGCTGTCCCAGAAGATGAGGCATGCGAAGGTGAGGTGGTCCGTGCACGGTTTTTGCAGAGATGGAAGCCGACAGCCGATGGACACAAACCAAATGCAAGAGTCATTCTGCAGGGCTTTCGACATAAGGAAGTGCTCCATGAGAACCTGCAGCGAGAGTCACCGACTCTCAGTCATTTGGGCTGCATCACCTTGATGGTCTGGGCAGTTCATAGGAGGTGGAAGATTTGGTGTGCCGATGTCAAAAGAACCTTCATGCAGTCAGATTCCATTGAGATTTTGAAGGCGACAAAACCAGCTTTTGGTGATGTGAGAGCACCTCGAGAATGAGACTGCAGATCGCTTCCTGACTCAGGAGTTAAACCTGATTCACCACCCGCTGGACCGCTGTTTGTACCTCTCCGTACGACCAGCCACTGTTGAGGATCCAGAGTTTTTGCAGTTCGAGCGGAACAAAACCTGGTGGACTGTCGATGGAGCATTGGAACTACACGTCGATGATTTCCTGGGAGCTGGTGAGCATGTGTTTTCTCGCCATGCCTCCGCAAAGTGAACACGTAGTTCTTCACAATCTTTTTCATAAAGCGAAGGCAGCATGTCCTTGATGGCTGGTTTGTTGATGTGCGCTTGCAAAATGCTGATGGTCGCTGCAGCCTGAGGGAGACGCTGCATCACTGACCGTGACATAGCTCCCACTGATGCTCTCAGCTGAAGATGTTTCTTCTCAGTGCAGAAATCATCACTCATCGTCTTAAGAGATTTTTCCATGATCAGGGGCTTGATCTTGCTCGCATAGCCCTTCAAAGACACTGTCACTTGCTCCAGATCGGACGATTGAGAGACTTCGGCTCCACAGAAGCGCATCTTGTCACCAAAATTCCATGATCCGGACCGAAAACGTTTGGACAAATGACAAAGGCGATGCTGAAATGTCTCACAAGCACCGGCGTTGGACGGTGACGTGCCTTTTCCATTGACAGTGGTGGACTGGTCTAGCAAGAAGTTGGTTCGCATGTGCCGGAGCTCCTTGTCGGCTGAGGCTCAATCGGCAACGGTTGCCGTGGATGAGCTCGAGTGGGCCAAAGTTTTCTATGCAGGGATGATCAACCCTCATGTCGCCATTCAGGAAGATGCCACGATGCATGTCTTTGGAGGGTCACCCATCACCACTGACGCCAAGGCCCTCTACGACAGCACATTGTCCGTCTCTCCAAGACTGAAGTTGTCAGAGCGGAGGACTGCAATTGAGATGTGCATTCTGCGAGAGCGGTTGGCTGCCTCTTTGGGAAAGTTTCGAGGGTCAACTCCATGCAACAGTTGGCAGATGGATTGACAAAGCCCAGTGCAAAATATGCATTGGCCTGCACTTTGGCAAGGGGAGTTCATGCTTGGAAGTTTGACCAAGCACTAGGGGGCAAGAGGAGGACAAGAATAGGACAAGAGGTTGGTCGGCGCGGCCACAGGACAACAGCAGGACAACTGCAAGCATCACGACGACAAGAGGAGGAGGAAACCCAGACACAGCGTTCAGGGGCGCGGCCAGCCACTGTGGCCAGCTCTTTTCCCTAAGAGAGAACCCCAACAGTAAACTCTTTGGGGAAGAAAAACACCAAAGACCTAATTATAACCCGGAACCCAGCAACCGAGTCCCCACACCATCATCAGTGCCGGGGATGTGGAATCGGCAGTACTGCTCCAGCAGCAAGGGCGCGGTGTCTTCAAAGGCAGCCTACAAGGAGAACTGGACTTGATGACTTGGGCCATCTGTTTCAACGTGCACAGTCCACACCTCGATTCGACGGCCCATGGCTTCAAAGAGACTGCTGATTTGCAGAATATCTGCGATCTTCAGCAGGAGAAGTGCCTCCAAGAACTGCAGGGCAGAGCTTGCATTCCACATTCGTGTAAACTGAACAAAAGTCGAGAAGTAACAAGTGTGCGTGAAAATGAGCTACAACCCTTGCTTCACATTCAGACTGGGGAGTTCTAGCCCGAATTGATTGTAGATTTATAACGTCACTACAATCCAGTTCGGGGTGGAAACTCCGCCCCCGAAATTCTATGGTGAAAGAGCGACTTTCAGAGTGAAAATATGCAAAGAAATTGTGTTACCAATCTCTCATCCTTATGAAGTATTCATGGCTACCCACGGATATCATTGTATCATGGATATCACTGACACTGATCCGCCCTCATGAAATTCTCATGAGTATCTACATTTCTGGCTTCACCAAGCACCAGCCTTGGAGGCAGGTGCCTCAAAGTTTGCCTGGTTTTCGGAGTACATGAAGTCCAATGCATCCTTCAAAAATGAGGACCAGCTAGGGCAAGCCGCACACATTGACCCCACTTTATTCCTCTAGTGACCTTGTTGGACCTTGTTCTTCAAAGGACTGCACAAGCTCTAATTGAACGGAGAATTTAGGCTCACAAACGTAGTGACCCCAAGTCACAGTCCCAGAGGTGACACACTTTTGGCTCATGCTTGCCCAAAACGGCTGCAGTGAAACATACATCTATGAACAACTATGGCATGTACATGTAACTGGTGCTACATCTGATCACGCCTCCTGAGTTTAACTTCTGAGAGACGTTAAACGAATCAGGATTAGCACATGAGTGAATTAGCTCGTAGCCCTTCAGTACATCTTGGTCTTGAAGAAGTACCTACTCTAGCTCAAGCCGTTCAAGCTCTCAGTGTTAGTTCATGCTCACCTTCCAGGTAGTGGAAGTTCATGCCTCTCATTGCAACGTTCATCTTTTCTTCGGTGACAGCTTTCGTTAGCACGTCGGCCAACATTCGGTCCGCGCCTTCTTTCTTGAGACGAAACTCTTTCTTTGCTGTACGCTCTTGTACCCAGTGGTACTGAGTACTGAGCGTCAACATGTTTGGCTCGTCCCAAACCTCGACGGTTTCCCATGGCGATGCCAGCGGAAGCGTCCATTGCCACCTCTTTGCTGGGAATCAATCCCCAGTCTTTGGCAGTTGATGCGATTCCAAGCGTCTGACATGCTCCACCACTGCTAAGGGAGGCAACTGCTTGGCCTTTGCTGTAGGTGGTGAGACAGCATTTGTTGGCCACGCACGCCTCCTGACACGCTCTTTCGTGCCCTTATTAAGGCATCCTGCACGGTCGGCGTCTGACCACATATTGAAAGGGATGCAGGTGCTCTGATATGGAAACAGCTGTGCAACTCTTGGTCGATATCCAGATCGGGTCGATCTTGTGCCAAATTCGCGGCTCTCATAGCAATAGATCTATGATCTATGCATCGTTGTTCCTCTTGACTTGGCTTGGCCAATGGTGTCTTGACCTTGCCTGGTTGACCAGTGCCTAACCACTTGGTGATCAACTCTGCATGTCTTGGATCTGGTTCCCACCAAATGCCTTCCTTTGACCAAGTGTTGATACGGTTCAACACTCTGATCTGTTGACTGGGTTTTGGTGATCCAGGTGGGCCGAGAATGCCTCGTTCCACAACTTGCCATTCTTTGGCTGCTGAAGTATGAAACCATTTGATGTCGTCAAAACTCCCTACTGTCGTGAAATCGTCTCCACGCACCTCTGATCGAAGTTCTCTAGCTGGATGGAAGTAAATACATGGATTTGACTTACCTTGCAAAAATCTTAACTTCTTCATGAAATCTGCGATGGTCAGTTCTCAGTTCATGGGTGCGTCTCTGGTGCCATACAGGCTTCTGACCAATCTTCCAACTACATCTCCATCTTCTGGCTTCTTGCCTTCCGATGGGATCTCGACATAAAGTTCTCTTGTTGCCTTGAAGTAGAAATGAGCTCTTTTCACATCTAAAAATCCTAGAAAAGATAGCCTCTTTTCATCTCTTGTGCCACCAATCTACTTCTGTAGAGAGGATTGGTTTCATCTTGCTTGTTCGCATAAACCCATCGAGTTCCAATGATTTTGGTTCCTTTTGGAACTTGGTTGGCTTCTTGGGATTCTCTCCCAAACTCCCATGGATTCGGCAATGTCGATCTCATGTTTTCTGGCTTTCTCTTCAGGTAGGAGTTCTTTTCCACTGGTGTCATCATAGTATCACCAGTCCTTTGCCTCTTCTGCCATCTCTTCCGCCAGTGGGGTCTTCTCTTCACACACTCGTTTCTCTGGGTCGATGCTCTCTCTCTGTGTCTTCTACGATTAAGCTTTCTAGAGCCATCTCAATGCTCTCGATGTCTCTTGTTCTTTCAGCTTCATCTTCATGTTTTATGATGTAAATTAGCTAGATAAGACAAGGGGATCCATAACTTAAAAACAGAAATTTAAAAAAAAGTCCAAACTCACTTCAAATTTCCAACCAAAACTCACCTCTCACCAGGCAAGTCCAAGCAAAACTCAAAAGTTCAAGGCAAAGTCCAAGCAAAACTCACAGGTTCAAAGGAAAGCTCAAGCGAAACTCAAGGAGCTAGGGAAACCAGGGAAGCGCCCGCTCAGCGAGTTTTGGGCGAGCTTTGCGCGAGCTTTTGACGAGCTTTGGTAGAAGAAAACTAGACAAAAGCTCAAATCGAAGCTCAAAAACTGCATGTGCACGAGCTTTTCACGAGCTTTCTGCGACCTTAGCTCGAAATAAACTAGCACCGAACTCACCACGACGCTCACGCCACGGGAAACTACTTTTGCGCGAGCTTTAATTGGACTTTCCCTGAGTTTTGCTTGAACTTTGTAATGATCAGTTGAATTTGCTTTGGACTTTCCTGTTGACTCTTGAGCTTCCATTGGACATCAGCACAGCACAAGCGAGTTTTAAGCGAGCTTGAAAACGAGTTTTGGGCGAGCTTTCAGCGAGCTTAAGAGGCCCCTGTCTTATCTGCTATTTTACGTCATAATTCATGTTCGCCTTCTGCTTTTCTCTTCTGGTCTCTATCTACCCTGGCTTTTGCTGTCGGTGATCCTGCTGGTTCATGTTGCTCTTCATGTTCTCTCTTTTCTCCATGTGGTTCAGGTTCGTGTGGTCTGCGAATTCCTGGTGCGGATGCTGCTGATGTGCCTGGTGTCGGTGGTGCTGCGGCTGGTTCGTACTACAATTCTGTCACTATGTCCATCTTGCGAGGTAACGCTGCATTGAGTATCTCTGGTGGAAGGTCAGTTGACATGACTCCACTTTCAATGGTTGCGTTGTTTGCATGGTTTCTTGTGACTCGGTGCCAGACGGTGGACCAGTCAGGTCCTCCTGGCATTGTGGTTTGGAAACAATGAGCGTCGACGTCGAGTCGTGCGAACACTTGACATGAATCGGGAACTCCCGATGGTCTCTTGCTTTCGTATCCATGAAGGATTTTGGGGTCTCTTGCCACTGACTGGCTTTGGCATGCCAGTGACTGCCTCTCCTACTCGACTCTCATGTCTTGCTACTCTTGGATTCTCTTCTTCTTCACCTCTGATGCGTTCTTCAAGTCTGTCCCGACACCTGTTGGCGTGCTGGATGCCTGAAAAGTTCATTTGCCAACCTGCGCGGCGTCACAAGCTGGGCAGCCATACTTCTCCAGGTCTTTCTTGGTGATGTAAAGCCTTTTCAACTTTCTTTTCTTGTCATCGATTGCCGGTGGTTGGACTAAAAGTTCACCACTTGGACTAGCAATGATTGGTTCCCTTGGGGCTGCAATTGCTGGTTCTTCGCGAAGGGTCCCAGGGAATGCCAGTGATCGACATCAGCAATGCTGAGTCATATCGATCTTCTTCGGGCTTTCTTCGGATTGACTGCACTGTGTAAACTCCAGTGGCTGCGCCTACTATTTTCTCGGTGGTGCTGTCTTTCACTCCTAGAAAAATACCCTTAGTCCATTGGGCCTCAAACTTGTGACCTCTCTTGAGGTATTCGATGGCCTCACCGAAAGGTGGGATGGCTACCTTCCATTCACGTCCACGAAGTCTCGAGTATGGCGTCTTTCCGTCTTGGAGTTCGGTCAATCGGAAAAACAGGTTGTAGACCGTGGATGCGTGTTCAACCAACCATCATGTCAAAATAGCTGAGTCGTCTGGAAGCTTTTCACCATAACTTGACTCGATTGCGGCTCGAAGAGTCCTTGCCTGTCCTTCCAAGGTTTGAACTGCTCGTTCAATTTCTCCCTTGGACACTTTGACTCCTTTTGGGCTCTTCTCGATGATCAAGGTTCTTTCAAACCCGTTCTTTACTGCCTCAACGACCGATGTGAGAGCAGGTTCAGGGTCATGTCGAATGATCAGTTTGGAATATCCTAGTTTCTTGATGTCATTCAGGAGTACCTTGGATCGATATGGTCCTTTGGTAACACCCTTGTAGGGTAACACGTGGGCAAAAAAATGTTTCGTCCATCGATCTCTGACAACTAGGATTGGGGCATGTGTCATCTCATCCATGACTACGTCATCAGTTCGTGAGTTCATGAAACAGTAATCATCTGAATGATCCACCCGCTTGTGTGATTGGCCTTGGCCTTACCTCTAACGCAGGCCTCACACCACGAACGAAAAGGAAAATGTGACACTGAGTGTTCCTCGAGCTCTTTTCGCGTTGGGCGAACTGGAGCGTTGATCTTTTGAGTCCAGATGGAAGTTCATCACCTGGCTCGGCCTCAGCGGCTTCAAATTCTGCCGGGGCCTCGTCGTCCATGACTGGACTTACCCACATCGGTGCCGGGTGAAATGGTGGAACACGATCGGCACGGAGTAAACTCCGTTGCAAAATAAAAGGAAATTGGGATTTTCCATCTCGAGCAATGTGTCCTCCAGTCTTGCTCATCTGGATGGACCAACCCTTGTCGGCGAGGGCTGGATTGCCCGGTCAGGGCGCCGCTGCCGATCCCAATCGTCACCTTGGCGTTGATCTTGCCAAGATCTTTTACTCTCTCGCCCGATGCTGTCTTGTAGATCTTCGAATTCGTGCCTTCAGGCTGAACAGGCTTATAGCCCAATGCTGCGGCGAGTTCGACTGGGATACAGGAAGTGGCTGCGCCTGAATCCAAAGTCACCTGATGAGCCATGGGCGTCTCAATGGATGCCAGCTCCAAACTCTTGAGAGCCAGTGGATCTCCTTCACCTTCACTTGGCTCGCTTGTCGGTGTTGGATACCGCTTTCCTTTTCCTTTCTGGGTCTCACCAGCGGCATCTTTTGTTGCCACATTGACAGCTTGAGTCAGCTGCACGTTCTTCTGCTTTTGCTTGCCTTTCTCTTGGCCTTCCTTGTGGCCTTTCTCGGAGGCAGCCGGAACCGAAGCGGTTCGGCTCTCGCCCGGAGAACGAGACCGGGACTTCAGCCTGAGCGTCTGCCGTGGTGCCTCACTTGATTCCTCCTGCGAATCGTTCCATGCGCTCTTCCGTCGAGCTCTTGAACCAGGCCATGCGCTCCTCCTTAGTCTTGCCTTTCTTCTCAGGAGGTGGAGGTGCCTTGGCAATGCGCCTTTGCTTTGGCGTCCTTGGGCCGAGGTCGTCTTCTTCTTCCTGCTCGGCCATCATCTTCTGCATGTGGGCGGTCATGTAGAAAGGGGGCTCTTTCTTGACGCTTTCCCACTTGGGCTCCTTAATTTTGAGGTGTTCTGCAACCTTTTCAGGCTTCAAAGCAGCCATCTCGGCGTCTTTCACATGCTTTGGGGCGTCTCGCGAGGTTGGGCTACCTCGCCGTCCCTTCGCAGTCTTGATTCTCTTTTGCTTGAGGGCCCATTTATAGCCCATTGACCGAGAACCTTTGGTGGGCAACAATTCAGGGCCATGCAAACCATGAACTTGCGGCCGTCCTTGGCCTTGTGGGTGCATTTTGTCACCCATTCATCATAGCTGAGGATGTGCCCTTGGCTGTGGTCGAGCCATGGCACGGGATCATCTTCTTCTGGTGCCTTTTCCTCTTCTTGCTCATCATCATCTTCCCTCAACTTCTTCTTCAAACTCTGCACCGTCAAGTCCCTCAATCTCAGTCACATCAAGGGGATTGATGGTCTCCATGACTGGTGCTGTGAAGGTATCAGTCTTCTGGGTTGAACCCTGCAGCAGTGAGTGCCTTCTCAATGATGTCGCGGGCTGGATGGCTTGTAGCTGTCCAGACTTGGCTCTCCCGCTTCATCTCCGCCAGTTCCTTGGCGGAGAGATCTTCAATCTTGGGCTCTTTATCTTTTGGCTTTTCAGCTTTCTCTGCCTTTGCAGGCTTCTTTCTGCCACGATGCTTCTGGGCCTTCTCTTGACCGCGAGGCTGAGGGGCTTCCTCAAACTTCCCTTCATCATCTTCATCGTCCCAAGCTTGAAGTCGACCAGTACCCTTGGCGCGAGCGATCTCACAGTGGTCGAGCTCCTCAGGGTAGTTGGCCTCATAGTCGCGCCAAGATTCAATGCGACCTTGGCGCTGGCAACTCGATGTTGCTCGGCGCGACGGCGACTCTTTTTTCCTCTTCTTGTTGGCCAATCGTGGATCCATGTCTGATGCAAAATCTGCTGAGAGCCTGGGCGCTCAAGGATGGCATCATTGGCAGCCTTGCCCTGAGCTTCGGCCTCTTCAATGGCTTTTGGATTGACTCAGATTTCTTCTCATACAGTTCACGATTGGACTGCATGGTCTCTTGGGTTGCTTGGTTCATGACAGCTGCAATTCTAGGGCGACCTTTACCAGCTCCTGGCTTCTTTGGCATTGCCTTGACGTCAGTCTTGGCTTTTGCCTTGAGTGGCGATGTCAGCGGAATACTCGGGCTCGGGTTGATGCTCTTGAGCCACAGAGGTTTCAGATTCTTCAACTGTAGCTACCTTTTTACTCTTACTCTTGCCCTTACCTTTAGAGTCTTTGCCTTTGCCACCTTTGCCTTTACCCTTGGACTTTTGGTTGCGCCAACTACTCTTGTTTATTCGATGAATTGTTCCACGACGAGGGATTGGACCAACTCGAACCTTTTCCCTACTGTTTACCTGTCTCGTTTCCCTTGCCTCCATCTTGACTCTTTCCTTTTCATTTGCCGCCTTTTGAGCCACCTTTGCCCTGTCCTTTGGCTTTGGCCAGACTCGCAAGTGAAGCTTGCATCTGGCTGGCAGCTGCGGGCAATGCATCATCATCCATTGGCGCTGATCCTGTCTTTGCTTCTCTTCGGCTCTCGATGTTGTCGGGATAGGCCAAAATCTCTGACTTCATGATGTCATAGTCAGTGAGTCTTGAACTTTGGAGGTCAAGGTGATCTTGAAGTTTTGCTGGACACATCTGCTGGAGACAGCTTCTGGCTATGTCGTCATCAAGAGCTTTCTTCTTTCGCTCTTCAAATTTTCGCCTCATGTTCTCCCAGGGCTCTATGCTCTCGAAGCTTGTCTAATGCACACTGTTGTGGGTGCAAGACCTTCTTCAGCAAAGCTTGTGGATTCTGTGGATCATACTTGGTGATCAGTCGTCGCAATGCCTCTAGGCCAAAGTGCTGACCTCTGGAGGTATTCTTGACGATCTCAAGCGCTTCTCCCTCGCAGTGAGATATCATCTTCCAGAGATGTCTCATTGATCTCTGTGTCTTGGTGCTCTTCAAGGAGCTGAATGCACTTTCCTGCGTTCTTGATATTCTTGTGACTTGTCTCAATCCAAGTCTTGAACCTGAAGGTACCTGTGTGTCCATTGAACCTGTCAAGCTTTGGGACGCCTTTCTATTCTGATCTGTCTCGCACTTCTACACTGGTTGCTATGTCCCGTGTGATTGCCGTTTGCTGGGTGTATGCTTCTGCCATTGCTCGTTGCAGTTGATTCTGCCCTTGTGCTAGTGCTTGCATCATCTGTGCAAATTGCTGCACCATGTCTGCTGGTTGTGCCTGTGCTCCTGGCTGTTGTGCCATGCTGACTTGCTAGCCAGGGATTGAAGCAATCCGGCTTTCCTGCAAGTGATGTTTGTATTCACGAATCTCAGGTGCCAGAACCGATGCAGTTCGGCAACCTTCGATACGCAAACGGTAGCTGGGTCTTAGAACCTCAGCTCCGCTACCATGAACGGAGAATTTAGGCTCACAAACGTAGTGACCCCAAGTCACAGTCCCAAAGGTGATAGGCACACTTTTAGCTCACGCTTGAAGTAAGCAAGTAAACCCAAAACGGCTGCAGTGAAACATACATCTATGAACAACTATGGCATGTACATGTAACTGGTGCTACATCTGATCACTAATGAAACTCTACCCACAAATCACAAAACGAAGCAAAGCCTCAAATGCCCGATATATCCTCGAAGGCCGAGTGACACGAGGTAGGTAGAACCTCGCATCTGAAGTACGCTTGAAGGGCTCTCACCAACCGGTCTGGATTCTCATTGATTCCCACCTGCCTCGAGAACAAAAGGATTGTATTGTATGCTTATTCTGAGCTATATACCTTCAGATTTCCATATTGCGCGTGCTACATGTCATGTCCACAACTAGTTGCGGAACTCCCACACGGCATGGGCTGAATGCTAACTGCCAAAGCCTCTGTCAAATCACTCCCTTTGAAGTTGCCCTGCTCCGTACGAGCTGCGATGCCTCAGCCCCAAGTTCCGTAGCAAAGAACTTTGGAGGTGGCATACTCACAGGTGACATCGCTCAATCTAATGACTACCAAAACTAAAACCAAGTACATACGATAACCAACCTCTTTTTCAACCAAAAGCCCGTTATTCAGTGTGCAACTCTGGACCTTTTCGCTGGGCCCCCAGCTCATGTGGCTCTCAAAAAAGAGAGACGCTCGGGCCTTTAAATTGAAGAAGGGAGTTTCATCGGGGAGACAGCTCGGCAAAACCACTTTACTTTTCACCGGAATATGATTCCTCATCCTCTCTTGACTTTCATAATCTTCATACTGGCAGACAGGACCAAACGTCAATTCCAGAAAGCTCCATGAAACACTTTGATGAGGCTCTTCAAAAAAAGGCTCTAGGATCACTGAACTTTGCAGCAAAGCTTGATTCTAGCCCTATAGTAACTATAAAAGGAAAATAAAGACCCCTGAGCCCACCACCAACAGGAATGCGTGCAAATGGTAGAATTTCTCTCCAACCTCACAGCATTCTCAGCTTTTGACTTTGGCATAGCCCACAATGGGCTATGGTACATACTGATCCGTAACTTGAGGCCAGGGGGAGGAGGTCGAAAGCTAGCCGAATCGCACCGGATGTACCAGTCACATAGTCGGCAAAGCATGTAGTGAGCACATGTTCTGGGAGGAAGGTTGTGCGCTAAAGAATGTAAATGTGACATCGCTGACTGGGACTGGGAAGGGTACATTGGAACAACCCGGGCGCACTCGTTGGCAAGCACGAAGATGCGTGATCGGCAAATCTGGGGGGTAAATTTACCCTCCGCTTTTGTATGCCTTGAGGGGTAAGCATTTCTGACATCATACGGACTGTACATACACTAGGGCGTCCGTAGTGTAGGAGAAGCACAGGTAAAAGGTATATGGAATAGGGTGCCTTGAGGAAATAGCCGGCTTATGGTTATCGCAAATCTGGGGGGTAAATTTACCACCCGCTTATGTATGCCTTGTGCCGGAAAAAGGAGTAAGCATTTCTGGCATCACAAGGACTGTGCAAACACTAGGGCGTCCGTAGTGTAGGATAAGCACTGGTAACAGGTATAAGGAGCAGAGTGTCTTGAGGAAATAGCCGGCTTATGGTTATGGCAAATCTGGGGGTAAATTTACCACCCGCTTATGTATGCCTTGAGCCGGAACGAGGGGTAAGCATCACAAGGACTGTGCATACACTAGGGCGTCCGTAGTGTAGGATAAGCACTGGTAAAAAGGATGTAAAAAGTATCAGGCATAGAGTGTCTTGAGGAAATAGCCTGTGTATGGTTATAGCAAGCCTTGGGAGTAAATTTACCACCCGCTTATGAAATAGGGTAAACAACTTGTAAGGGTGAAGTACAAGTCCTATGCAGCAAGCAGCAGCCAGCAGCAGCAGCAGCAGAAGCAGCCGCCTGCAGCCAGCAGCCAGAAGCAACCGCCAAGCAGCCAGCCAGCAGCACCACGCAGCAGCAGCGCAGCACCAAGCCGCAGCAGCAGCAGCAGCAGCACCACCGGCAGCAAGCAGCAAGCAGCAAGCAGCAGCAGCAGCAGCGGCGTCGTCAGCAACAGCAGCAGCAGCACCAAGCCGCAACAAGTAGCAAAGCATGAACTACCTCAAATGATCTCAAATATACACGCAACTCATTATCATTATACCTATCAGTTTGTTAACTTCTGCATTGAATGAGCCACTCGAACCAGCAAAACGACGCCAACCCTGGACGGAGGCTGAAGGAACGACGTAGCATGGAGGTGAAATGGAGCGTGCTCACCGTAGGACATGCCTTGACCAAGGATTGTAGATGCAAACAATTGCACAAACATATGCACACCTTGCCGCTGTCTGAACACCAGCAGAGCTATCACGCAATTCATTCAGTGGAATGGTGGTATGCACCACAACAATAAGCGAAGCGGCGCAGCTGGGAGTTGAACCGCGGGGGGGGGGGGGTTAGCTTGATATATCAATCTTTAAGGCACGCAGCCCCTCCCACCACAACATTGCTAAAGCAAAGAAGAACTCAGCTAGCATGCTAGCTTTCGTGATTTGGAGAGCAACAAAAGCGAGCTAGCATGATGTGGCAGAGCACCTGGACAGTCCAATCGGAAAAGCGTCCATCTCGCCATGACCTTGCTACCCCGTTTGTTTGCATCAGGAAATGGTGTACGTTTAGACGCTTCGCAACAAAGAGTACAACTCAAATGTCTGACACCACAAAGAATTTGGCTTCATAAACAACCATGAGCACTACCTTCGTTCCTAGGCTTCGCTGCTTGTATGCTTACAAATATTATATTTGTGTCTATAAACATACATATAATATATATATATATATCTGGCATAAGCACAAGACAGTGAAGTCATGCCCCCAGATCCTTGCTGAAGAGTCCAAGAGCATCCGAAGAAATTCAGAACAATGCGGCGGTGCGTGAGAGTGATCAATTGTTCACCAATCATGACAGGACTGCTAGTAGGAACATCTGCTGGCCAAATCCAAAAAGTCTTCCCTACGCCTACAACTAATGTTCTTGCTTCTGAGGCTGTGGCCGCCACTGAAGCTCAATCCCAGGGCCCCTTTTGCACCTGATCAGAACAAGAAACAAATCTCCCAAGTGTCTTGCCCTGTCTGTGTCCCTGGAGCTTGGAGTCTCATTCGGTTCGAAACAGCACCGCCTGTTGCAGGAAATGCCATGCTGGCACCCACTGTGTGCTCAGAAGAGCCTTGGATTTCACCAATTCTTATGGCTGAACTTTCGAATCGAAACAGGGAGCGAGCGGTATTTCCATATGTCAGAAAAATATGTTAATCATCTGCCAGGTACTTCAACATCCGATTTCGATGGCAGCTTGCATGCGCATCTGCTCTGCTCAGCTAGCCAGCTCAGGTTGCCACTCGCCTCTGGGCCTAGGAAGGGCGCCGGTGGAGATGTAGGCAAGTTCCAGTGCTCCTCCAACACACACTGGAGATAGAGGGTGCTGAAAATAGAATGTAGTTTGAAAACATAAAATTAGCAATGAATGCAAGGAGGTTTGCAAACTTAGTTTACGATGAAAATGACATTACCTACATTCCAAAGTCAAAAAGATTATCCAAACCCCACCAAAATCCAAGTTCCAAGGATCCAGTGTCCAAATAAATGTCACCCGTGCACTCTCTGCGCCCCTTCCAAACTGTTGTCCTCCTCATCGCTTCCATCCATGTCTGCTAATCGCCCCAGGTGCAGTGATCTGAAATGACTGCTTCGACACATTCCTGCTTGCTAAACAGGAGAGTTTCCAAGCATCCACTTCAATAGTCTGATTTTCCCGCTGGCAATGCAGGATTACAGTCAGGTAAGTGTGATTCATTGTGGTCGCAAATGTTTTATTGCATGAATTTGGTCCGCGTGAAAGCTGAAAGAACGCAGTTGTCAAAAAATAGACATCGTCGTGGAACATGTTTGCTAAGCAAGTTTGAAGAATGAAAATTCGACCAGGAAAACGTCTGGAAAACATGTCTAGAGTCTAGGAATTGCATTGTCAAAAGCGCAAGTGAAAGAGCGCCAAAATTTGCAGGTCCTACCAACTCTTGGAAAGCATCTTCTCCATGAAGGGGCCATTCCGTGGGTTGTGGTGCTAGTGCAGCCAGGTTGACCGACAATACGTTGCACGCGCCCCACCAAAAACTTTACATCCAGCTCTGCTGTAATTGCTTTAATTCTTTTTAGAGCTGCGCTGTCAAATTGAAAGACCTGCATGTGGAACGGAAACTGCCCCAAAGTCATCGGGACAAATAAAAATCAAAAATGATGGCGCAGGCCAGTTCGTGCCAAAGAATTGATGCTAGAAAGGTCAAGTAGCAAGCCAAATTCAAACCCGGAACATGTTTGGAAGCGAACGTAAATTCCACCAGCTTGCTCAGATGAAAAGCCGTCCCAATCACACAACATCACACCAATGCCACGGTCACAAGCTGCGATGAACCTCACGTTCCCCACACAAATGCACAGCAGATCGCAAGATGCAATTTGTTTTTCCCTAAGTGCGCGTTGCAAGATCGAAGCCAACGTCACAAAAAAAATTAAGAGAGTGCGATGCAGGTAAAAATGAACTCAAATGATAAGAAAGTTGTTGCAACTTGCACGAATGCGAAGTGAAAGTCAATCCTCAGATCCAAGCCATCACGAGTTGCACTTCTGAGAAGTAGATTTCAGAAAGCAGTGACCATCGTCACACATGGATCCGGTCTCAGTACATGAAGTTTTGTCCAAAGTGATGGGCTGAGCATCAAATCATCAAATTCGGGATGATCAGCAAGTTGAACAGAGCACATTCACATCATGCCGCATGGTCAAAAGCATTCCGTCAACTTGAAACACGGTCGCGTAAGTCCTTTCGATCCCGCCCAGCCAAAGTCACGGTCGGCTCAGACTGTCTCAAAGGTTCAAAGCTCTTCCAAAAGCTGTTAGCTCTTGTTAAAGGAGTCATCTCAAAACCCTAAAAAACTGACGCTTGAAAAAACTTCTTGCACCACCAGAAGATTCCCAGCCATACCAAACCTTCTTTAAGGTGTAAGGCTGACAGAAACCGTCAGTTTTCCAGCATCTTTGCGGTAAGAAGGGACATTGCAATGTCCAGACAACCCCGTGTTGCAGCAACTTCTCATCAGCAGCTGCAGGTTCCCGACTGGCAGCATCAAGTTCTGCAGGCTCAGTGAAAACAATGTGCCCTGACCCAAATGATATGCGTCAAAACACTGGATCCTGCCAACCAAAAATTGAACAAGGAACTTTTTTTGGCACGGGTGGAGACGCCATGTGTGCAGAGAATGCACAGGTCATCTTGTGCTACTTGAAAGTGAATCATCGGCCAGGAAAAGAAAACCAAACCAAACAAACCCAAAACACAAACACAAACCCAACAAACCGAAACAAACAACCTGGCCCAAGACGCGACTCAAGTGGGTCATGCAGAGGTGAAACAAATTGAAAGCGGTGAAACCTACAAGGGGCGTCAAAATATATAAGCAAAACGGCCTCTCAGTCGGGTTGTGCTTGTCCCGAACGTTCAAGGTCAGGCAGCAAACTTGCGGAGTGCTGGGGTGCCTTTGCGCACTATTTGTTGCGCGTTGCACTGGGCCTGCATATCCAGGCTTTGCATCTGTGTTTGCATCATTGCTGATTCGGAGAGGCATAGACAATGACGAACAGGCAAGGGTCTCCAGTTGCGAGTGTGTATGGTAGGCAGGTATACATCGGAAAGCCACTGCGGAAGGAGCCCATTGCGCCAAACAAGAAGGCTCATAGTTTCCAGCTGTGCGGCCTACTAATGGTCACAGCTTGCTCGATTGTTGTTCACTTGTGATGCGACTCATTTAGCAGCCAAGCACCACTCGATCCTCGCTATGTGAGCATGCAGGATGCGGCTCCCCTCCCTTAGGGGAGGGAGGCAGCGCAACATAGCAACCTTGCGGCGGTGTATCTCAAACAGCTTTGCCAGGAGAGAGGCAGGAAAAGACAAGGTGGCAACCACGAGTGGTTCCTTGGTGCAAAGCCCCAGTTCTATTGTGAAACAGAGGTGAAACAAAGAAACAAAATGAAAAAAAACCGAACTACACCGAAATTATTTATACAGCTGTCAGCCCAAAAGAAATCGTGGAGACAAGAAGCAAAACTCGTCAACGTTTCGTCTCACGTAAAGCAGCTGATGGCACTCTCATCTTTTGACCACGGGGTTTCTGCGTTCAACTCAGTCTTGCGACTGGCCTTGGGTAGGCCAGAAGGGCACATAAGAATGACTGAGATGTCATTTAATCGCTATCAGCTCAAAAAGAATGCATGGTGCCAAGAGGCCACCATGGTTGGCTTCGAAAATGATGCGCTTTAATGCGAGCAGTCTGAACTTGCACATACACGGAGACAGGTGGTTTTCGTCTCGAAGCAACTGCAAAGACCAAGACGGAGGCAAACAGCATTGCGTCAAAGTCGTCAATGGTAAAACTGAAATTGTGTTGAAGCAAACGTAGGCTGTGCAAAATTGGCAGCTGGTGACAAAGCTGCTGCAATCTATGGATGGATTGCGTAAGTTTAGGGGGGGTAGAGAGGTGGGACGATTTTACGCGAACGGATGGTCCCTTGACAACTTGGTCCCAAAATTGCACGCTTTAAAGATACTTCCATCGTAAGATAAAAGGTATGGCTTTGCTCAGTGTCCTGGACATCATTGTGGAACCGTGGCAGCTCACTCGTTACCGGATGGTATCAAATGCATGTGTCCACAAATGACCAAATCAAGTATATCAAACAGATTAAGTTTTCTTTTGGGTTCGTACAACGTACTGCTGACGTAGTAAAAATAATGCACTATCCCTCCTTTGTCGGGAAACGTTTCTTATTTATACAGCTGTCAGCCCAAAAGAAATCGTGGAGACAAGAAGCAAAACTCGTCAACGTTTCGTCTCACGTTTCACATGACATAAAGCAGCTGATGGCACTCTCATCTTTTGACCACGGGGTTTCTGCGTTCAACTCAGTCTTGCGACTCACCCCTTGACCAAAGACTGCAAAACGTCATCCCACAACTCCTGCAAATTGAAGTCCACTCGGACAGCACTCCCAAGCGAAAGGACCTCCTCTCTCGACAACCTGTCACTTGGATTAGATTCACTTGGTACTCGCTCGTACCATACTGAAGACGACGCATTCTCCTGACAATCAAGGATCCAAGACACTGCCTGTGACACACGGCGTTCTCCGACGCACACTTATTTTTTTGCACGAGTCGAGGCGCTGTGTGTGCAGGTTGTGCACAAGTCACCTTAAGCTAGTAAAAGAGAGAGATACGAACCAAGCAACAAACCGAGAAGGACCAAACAACCCCCAAAACCCAAAACAAACCCGACCAGAAAAGGAGGCAAGGTTCGTACCTCAAGAAGGCTGAGACAGCCGAAGAAGCGGTGAGACAAAATGAAACTAGGGGCGATGAATTCAGCCTTGGCACTCAGTACATGGCCTTCCTGTCCTTTCATGTTTTCTTTTATGTTTCCTCCGCAGGGAGAGAGTAAGACTTGCACCCAGAGCTCGAATTCATGTGGGTGTTGATGCAAAAACAGGCAGGTTACGTGGCCGTATACCCTGTTCTCAAGGGGTTTGGCGAAGCCTTCACAGACGGCAGGTGCGGATGCGGTCAGCACGACGGCCAGTCAATCGACAGCGAATTACGCACCATTCACAAACTTCCAGCAGCACGAGCTCGTCGCATGTAAGGGGAGCAGTCTCGGCTCAGGGAAAACAACTGTGTCACCAATCGAGGACTGCAAACCAGTTCGGAAAAACACGGAAAGCGGAGCAGCTGCATTTTATTGCTGGGTAGTCGGACCTCTTTTTTTCATGGCTTTGACGGTGTTGTACGTACACTACGCAGAAGACCACCTGCCCAAGTCGAACGGCAGAGAAAACAAGTATATAACCTTACACTTGTCGGACCTAAGTCTGTCGGGTTTTTACGATGTTATACGCACATGACGCAAAAAGACTACCTGCCCAAGTCAAACGGCAGAGAAAAACAGCTAAGTGGACGAACATCGCCGCAAAAAAGTAAAATAACAGCAGCAAAGCCTTCAACATAGCTTAACAATTCTTTGGAGCGCAGTGCAATCCAAAAAGGCTCTGCTTGCGATGTACCTGAGCGACGGCGGGACGGCAAGCGTTGGCAAGGCGGCACAGTTCATGAAAGCTTTAACTCTAATGGTCCGGAGGGTGTAGGGCAAGCTGATCTCCGTTAGGCTAGTGCAGTGCGCAAAGGTGAACTCTTGGATTTCTTCTATAGTCGTTCTGGAGAGGTCAACTGTCTTGAGAAGGCGTCAGGTGTCACAGGCATGCGCGCCTAAACTGGAGAAGTTCGGCGTAAGTTGTAGCGTGGCTATGCCTGTTGAATTAAGGCGTCCCTGCGCCAACTCGTTTGTTGTTGTCCGTGGTGATATCCCATTCCAAGAGAGGCACTCTTGGAGGGTGAAATCCGCAAGATTGATGCAGTCACGGAAGAGATACTGCCCTAACTTAGTGGTGCAATTAAATTGGTTGGCAGTGTTTCCGGCTGCATAAACCCATTGCAAAGAGCTACATTCCGCAAAGGCTTTATATCCAAAGTCCCGACAGCCCGATGCCGTGACGATGTTGAGTAGCTTACACCCTCGAAATACATTATCTGCAATACCCACAACTGTGTCCGGCAAGTTCACTATGCGAAGTTGCCG